TCAGGAATGGGGAAAAGCATGCAAGCTGGGCGACTGGAGACAGGCTTGATCATATCTCCCCACTGTGTCCACAGTATACTTTGTCCTCAGACCTTGGGCAAGCTCCTTCAGCGCTCTGCATTCCTCACGTTTGCAAGCAGGGTCCGTCACCCTCCCGCCCCCACTGCTCTCCCTTCCTCCCACCAGTTTTTTTCCTAGGAAGTCCTGAATGCATTAAGCGGCTCAGCCCTTCCCAGATGACACTCCTGCAGGGCAAAGACACGGCACGCCAGCCAGCGCCTCCTGTCCGGCCTGATTTATGGGACTGAGCTTACGGAGTTTGGGCAGACAGGATCTTGATGGGCTGTCCTGCTAGAAAGACCAGTCCTCTTTTGCGCCTGTCTGGATCTGTGGAGTCCCTGCGGCGAAAGCGTGGCTTTGCTCGCCTCACCCTGTGTCGTGCTGTCGGACTCTTGGAGAAGGGTTGCAGGCCTGCGGCTGTGCCCGAGGGCCACAGTGCCTTCACAGCAGAGGTGTGGAACCCCAGCCCCGTTGTGCCAGTCTGGACCTCGGGGGCTTCCCAGAAGGCTGTGCTCCTTCCATTCGACGGCCGCTGGATCGGTGGTTTCCCGGCTTCGGGGGCGTTTGAAAAGCTCGCAACACCTCCCCTGAAGCTTAGCAACCAGCAGCAAAGCGTCAAGATCTCTGGGCTGGTTTTCAAGTACTGATGTGGAGAACTCCATACTGGGACTGGGGACTGGACAGATTCCTGGGCTCAGCTCCCTGGGCTCCAGCCTGCTTTGTCCTGGCCCTGACTCTGCCCAGGGTCCGCAGGGTGTTCACCAGGAATCACACCCCCGCTCTGGCGTCCCGCTTCCACGCTTCCTCCTGTGAGCAGCCAGACTTTCTCGCTTGCTTTGCAAGAGGGATTGATTCCTCGTGAGTTTCATCCCAGCCCTGATATGGGGCCTTGGTCTTCTTTCCTTTCAACTCGGACCCCTTCTGCTTTTGTCCCCTGGCCACTGCCCCTGCGTCCCCCTCCCCCCAGAGCTTCCCTGAAATAGAATTTGACCCTTGGGCTGAAAGTGCTTTCTTTCTCTTGGAAGGAAACGCCTTTCTTTCTAAGCTCAGGGTGCACGGCAGTGGCTTGACTTGTGCTCTCAGTGCCCAATGTTTTTTAAGCTCAAGCATTGCTCTCCCGCTTTGTAGTCCAAAATGCTCAGAACGGTGCTCCCTTTCCTCTCCTGCCCTACCCTTCCATGGTTGTTGCAGCAAGAGTCACTCTGGCGAGAGTGTGGGAGTGTGCATCAGACACGGCCAAGAGCTGGACGGTTCGTGGGAATGATGCGCTGGGCGCCTGCTCAGTCGCGCGGGGTCTTCTGGTGCAGAAGCGTCTTGCAGAGGGGCGGTGTCGGGGGAGAGGTCCGGCGTGTTCGGTGAGGCTTGCCCTTGGGACAAAGACAGCCGCTCTGCACCAGCGGTCCTCCAACTTGGAGAGGAAGGACGTAATGGACAGACCAGTGATCGATCTGGGCTGGGGGGCCGTGCTCCCCAGAGCGCGAGGTCTCCAGTGCGGTGCTGCATGACGACTGGTCCCGTTTAGGGCGAGAGGTGCTTGAGTGGGACCTACTGGAGGTTGGTGGGATTTGCACTGCGGAACATTTGTTGGTTTGGAAGCCAGTTAGCATAGTGGAAAAATGGTATTCAGTGATTCAGATTTATCATTATCGTGTTACATTTCTGTACCCACCATAGCCAAAGCTCTCTGGGTGGTTCACAACATTTCAAGTCGCCCATCCAGATTTCAACCAGGCCTGACCTTGCTTAGCTTCCAAGATTAGGCAGGGTCAGGAAGATTTATGGCTACTTCCCTGACCTGGTGCCCTCCAGCTCTGCTGGATTACAGTTCTCACCATAGTTCTTGAGGGGTTATGTAGTCCCATGCACCTGGAGGGCATCAGGTTGGAGCAGGGCTTGCATATAGGTTGCATTTCTACTTTGCATCGGGGTGTGAAGGGCGGTTTTGGGTGGTTCCTCCTGACAGCAGGATGTCTGTGGGCGGAAGCCTAACATATTGCTGAGATCTCAGTGAGGCCTCAATAAACCTAAAAGGCTGGCTAGAAATCGGTGAAATAAGAGCACTGGGGTCTGTCCCAGGATCCTCTGCCCATGGGCAGAGTTCCTCTTGTCTTGAGTGCAGTGCTCAGACCGCACGGAGGAGCCAGGATTGTCTTGCGCTGCCCTTGCCTTGAAGGGCAGGGTCGATCCAGCACCACTTTTCCCAGCGGGCAGCGAGGGTCTCCACAGCCTCCGCCTCTGAATGGCTCCATTCACCCTCCAGCGACCTCTCCTGCTGGCTCTCCTCCGGCAGCTCCTGCCTGTCCGCCTTTTCTTAGCAGCCCTTCCTGTAAAAAGGATAAAAGGGAGCGGGAAGGAGCTGGTGCGGAGCAGGGGAGGGGCTCCTCGACCCGGATGAGTTCTGGGAATGCCCCCGAGTAGGCCCCCCCTTGTTCGAGCAGCTTGCGCTCCTGCCCTCGCAGGTGAGCCTCTGGCAGATGCTGTGGGTGCTCAAAGTCGGGTCTGTCAGGCAGACGTTTGATGGGCAGAATCCATTTTGTCGTTGCTTTTTGTGGGGAAGCGGATTGTGGAGGTGCTTTCTCCAGCCCAGACAACCGCGTGTGTCTGGGTAGTTTTAGATGCTGTGCCGAACTCTCTTACTTAGCCACCTTCAGAAGGCCGTGTGCATTTCTTCAGATGCAAACACAATGCTGGCCTTTCTCTCTGTCCCCCCAGCATCACCCCGGCTTTGCAACCGCTTCTGCAATCCTTTCAGTCAGAACAACAGCGACAAAAGTGCTTGCGGGATACAGAGTTGTTCTGAGCATGTACAGTGTTACATTTGTGACTCGCTGAAATCGGAGCTTCGGCAGGGCTGTGGGGCAAAACCTGCGATCAGAGGTTGGTTTGTGGCCCCAGAGTTCTCCCCTGGCAATCCTGTTTATCAGTCTCCCTGACCTCTGAGTGTTGGCCCAGCTGTCGTCATTCTTTCAAGCCCATCATCATAATCCTAAGGGCTAGAAACTTGCTTTCCAAAAACTAAAGTGTGCTGAACTCTGTTTTCACTATCCAGTTCTGTGCTTGGGCAGGATTGCGGACGGGGCCCAGTTCAAGATACTTTGCAGCCTCCGGTGAAAAACAAGATGATGCTACTTCCTAGTCCATATGCAAATGTTGATTGAACTGGCGGTCGGATCTCCTTTCAGCGCTGACAGCGGGACAGCTGTCTCCCCCAGCTTAGGGGGCTCCAGGCCACAGCTTTCCCCTCTGACCCCTCGCCCCCATTTTCCAGCATCTGGCTCCAGAGGCACCTGCCTCACTTGCCCTCTGGGTAGGGCCGGCCTGACTGCAGAACACTTAGTGGAGTGAAGCTTGAAAGTGCAGAAAGAACGCTTGCCTGGCGCATTCCTGTGGGGAAGGACTGTTTTCCAGCATCGTGTTTATAGGAAGCAGACGTCGCCCACAGTTCGCATCTTGGCACGGTCATGCGGTTTGCTGTAAAGAAATTCACGGAGGGCTGCAGAGTCACTGTCTCTACGCGGGGCGTCAGCCTGTCCCGGGTCCAGTTCTCCGTGAACGCCTTTTGAGCCAGGGATTTTGGTCTGAGCGCACACGGCTCTTGCACGTTGGCCGTTCCTCAGGCGGGCTCAGAGCAGGGCCCAGAATTGCTGGGCACCTGCCACAGGAGAGCCGATTGCTGAGTCGCGCTTTGGGGGACCTGGCCGGTCCCATCCCTCCGCCTGCCTGCTGGGGTTGTGATGGGGCCCAAGCTACTGGTGTGTTTGGCGGGGGTGGGGGGATTGGCCTCCAGCTCTCCATGTATGAACTGGAGAGCATCAGGCATCTGGGTTGGTGGGGGAAGAAGAGACAGCCAAGGAATGTGGCTTGGGAAAGATGCGTCTGGAAGAGGCGGCCTGCATTTCTGGCCTCTGCAGCTGGATGTGAATGCAAGGCAGCCTTTGCAAGAGGACGGACAGAGTTCCAGGTTTTCCCCTGGACGAGAGAATGAAGCAGCCGAAGCGAAAAAGCTTGTGAGGAGGGTGGCGGTTGTGGGTGCAGTAGCAAATTGCAGCAAAAGTCCATTTTTAAATGCAAGTGCCATGGCACACAGTCCTCCTCAGCACCTCTCCTCATAAGGCATGAGGCTCTTTTAGGACAGAGAGGCACAAGAGCCTTTTTACTCTGTCCCAGTCAATGCCTTGTGAAAGACGCTGCAGCATCACAGTCGCACCTCTCCCAGCCATTCCCAACCCTCTAGATGCACCACACCACAAGTCCCATCCGCCTCAGACAACACAGCTATGGGACTCCCACCCCCAGCCAACAGGGGATGATGGGAAATGAAGTGCAACACCTTAGGAGGGGGCCAGCTGTGACCTAGCAAAGCTTTTCTCCAAGCCAAGCATTTGCTTCTATCCTGGAAGCTGGATTATGGATCCCATGTTCCACAGCTGACACCTTTCTGCCCAGAAGCAAGGATCCCCATGAGTGTTCCTTAGTGATCACAGTAACTCGTCCCCCCTTTAGGTGCCTCTTTTGGGGCGGGGGGCGGATGCTGGCGCTGAAGACGGATAATTTGGCTTCCAGCCTCCCAAAAGCAGTCCTTTTGCACCAGCCGCAGCCTGCGTCGTCTTCAAGTCGAGGCTCAAGCAAGCGGCTTTGTCCTGCGTGGGTCTCTCTCAAAGACTCCCTTTTAGCAGTTCCGCTGGTCTCGTCTGCGCTCTGTGGTTTCCCGTTCCTTCCACATGTGTGTTTCTCTCTCCCAATTTGTCACAGCCTGGCTGCAATTATCCCCTCTGCTTTTGATTGTTCTCCTCTTCCATGCTAAAAATTTATTTCTCCTCCCCTTTCCCTCCGGCTCGGCTTGCCCCCCTCCTCCGCTTCCCAGGCCAGTTTCCAAAACGAGACCTGACGTCACCCCGGGTCCCACTGGTCTCGCCACTCGGTTCCTGTGCAAAACGGGCGGGCGGTTTCCACGGCTCTGTTGCTGAACGCTCTCAAGGTGGCATGGAATTCTCTGGCAGGTTCGGATTCTTTCTGGAGCAGCTGGGAAGATGGGAGTCCGCCTTGGGCAGGCAGCCGGTCCACGGAACTGAGCGTCGTCTGCCCCAGAGGTGCACAGCTGGCCCAGATGTGGTTGGACCGCCCCTCCCATCACCCTTCCTCACTGGCTGTGTTGGCTTAAGCTGATGGGAGGTGCAATCCAACGTATTGGCGGGTGGGGGTCGCCGTGAGTGGGCTATTCCAGTTCAGGACCAGCTGGCAGTCAGGTTCCGGGTGGGATTTTTCCCGGCCCTTTCTGGGGGTGCTGCTGACTGAACGTGGGCCAGCTCCGGCCCACCCTTCCGCTACGTTTAATCATACGTGTGGGAGAGCTTTGTTGACTGAATGAGATTCACAGCACGATTCTTACCCAGAGCTCATGGTTTGATGGGGTTTCCCTTCCCACCTTAGTGGGAACACAGTCACCATCTTCTTAGTCCTTGTGTGAGTGTCTGAGAGAGAGAGAGAGACTCAGAATTCTGGCTGTGACCAATAAGACCCTATAGAACTGCCGGAACACCTGCCTGCTGGAGCGTGGGAGCAGCCCAGATCCTGGCAGAGCCTCCTTGGTGGTGACTCCCCAGCCCTGGAATTCCCTGCCAAGGAAAGCCAGGCTCGGCTTCTCTGTGTTATCCTTCCACAGACAAACAAAAGCTTCTTTTTCAGGCAGGTCTTTGGCATATCAGCTGGCCTACTGCTCCAGCGTTGCTAATTAGGTAGCACTGGGTATTTCTTTTATTGTGTTCTAATTTAGTGGATAATGCATTCATTTGAAAAGGTTATGCTTTGCTCACCTTTTGACTGAATTTCATCACTAGCTGCCTTGAGCCCTGTTTTTGGTCAGAAAGGCGGACGGACTGCCCCATTCATTAGACGATTTTTGGAATGCGTGGGCCGATATTGCAGGGTGACCGAACCTGGTTGCACCTTCAGCCCAAGGGGTCAAGAGCCTGTCTGCATGCCAATTAGTCAGTCATTGGCATGGCCTCACATGCACTGCTTCCACGGGTTGGGGACGGTTCCTCCGCAGAGGCTGGGTCTGTGAAAGGCTTGCGGTAGCAGCAGGAAAGGCTGCAGGTAGAATTGCCACGGCTCTCAGCCTCGGCTTGCCTTTGTCTTTCTGCTTCAGGCTGCCGCCTCCTGCAGCTTCCACGTGGATGCTTGGCTCAGCCAAAGGTCCATCTCAGCAGGGAGGCCTCTAGAAAAGTCTCTTCACTTGGCCAACCGGTTCTGCTGTCGTCGCTGCCGTCCCTTGGACACCCTGCTCCACCTGGCCAGCACCGCCCAAAGAGACCTTTCGGAGAAGAAGAGCTCGGGGCCTCTCTCACACCTGCCCTCCGTGCGACCTGAGAGCCTCCAGGTGGCAGAAAGGAATCTGCTTTCCTCGGCGAGAGCGGAAATGGCGGGTTGGGCTGGCTTGCCACTGGCCTGTTGACCGGACGTTTCTCCACCGTCCTTCGGTGACATGAGTCAAAACGCCGCTTCCCGGCTGGCCGAATCGCCTCAGCTCTCCAAGAGCAGCCTTCTCAACATCTTGGGTGCCCCGCAGCCGGAGAGGATGAGCCTGTCGGACTCCATGCCCCCCACGCCCAAGAGCGGCACCCCTTCTCCCGGGCCGCCCCAGCTGCCCTTGCTGAGCCCCGGCTGCCTCGAAAGTGACTGGGAGGGCCGCGAGGAGCTGCGGCTGCAAGAGCTGGAGGAGGCCCGGGCCCGGGCCGCCCAGATGGAGAAGACGATGCGCTGGTGGTCCGACTGCACCGCCAACTGGCGGGAGAAGTGGAGCAAGGTGCGTGCCGAGCGCAACAAGGCGCGGGAGGAGGTGCGCCAGCTGCGCCAGAAGCTGGACGCCCTGACCAAGGAGCTGACCGGCCTGAAGCGAGAGAGGCAGGAGGTGCTGAGCGAGAACGAGCAGCTGGGCAAAGAGGTGGCGCGGCTGAAGGAGGAGGGCGAGGGCGAGAAGGAGAAGGACAACCGCCTCGCCTCTGAGAAGGAGGGCGAGGCTTCCCCCGAGCAGGAGCCTGTGCGGGACGTGAGCTCTGAGAGGCTGCCGAAAAACAAGGTGAGCGCCTGGGGGGCTCCCTGTGCGCCTTGTGCTTCGCTTCTCTCTGTTCCAAACCTGTGACCGAAAAGTTATGCCAAGGAAGTATATCTGCGCATGTTTGCTTATTTTGCCTCCTCTGAATCTGCTTCCATTAGTTAGATGTGGAGCTAAGCAGAACCCAGGAGCAATAACCGCCAATTAGGGGGATTGTGTGGTTCTCCAGCTTCTTTAACCGTGGCACAAAATCCTGCACACTATGAGCTTGGGAGTGGGGAAGGATTTGTCAGAAGCAGAGAATCGGGGAAGGCTAAATTTTGTGCTTGGTGGACACAATCCTTGGTGCAGAAATTCCACGCTCTGGCCATTTCCTGAGCTACCGTGCCCATTTCACCTGGAGCGGCACATTGTTTTTCCATAGGATGAATTCGATTCCTTTTGTTTCAGGATAGGAAAGAGAATTTGATAGAGCAGATGGGCCTGGTAGAACATTTGCAAGGGGAGCTTCTGGGCTTGAACCTCCAAAGCTGTTGCTGTAGAGACACTAACCTGCCCGCCCAGACATGTCTGAATGGGCAGGCAGCCATTGTGTGAGAGCGCCCACGACGCTCCCTCAAAATTCTAAAGGAAGCCTTGGCAGTTACGAGCAGCCTATAAATACATGGATGGATGGATGGATGGATGGATGGAGAAACATGCTCAAAGGCTCCAAAGGTTGGAGGGACACCTGCTTTAGAGATTCCCCAGGAAGCTCAGTGGCTCACGTGTCTCGGCCAACAGCTCAACCAGCTGTGAATGAAAGTCAGTAAAGCTCATTTTTCCTGCTACCTTCCAGGGCCTCCTGAACTAGAAGAAGGGAAACCCCACCCAGCACAAACTTCTTCTCCTGCAAGTGTCTGTTTTCTGGGCACGTGAGCAGAGAGCCTCTAGAAAGCTGCCAGCCCTCTTCAGGCGTAGCAGTGAGCCCTCGGGCTGGCCAGAATAAGTGGCCTCGAAAGTTTGGCCTTTCCATTTTCTGCTCATTTGACATTTGGCAAGAGACGCTAACATCCCACGTTCTGATCTTTCCCTGCTCTGCATCTTGGCTTGCCGAGAGAAAAGCCGGTAAACCAAATTATGGCTTTTAATCATACACATTTCTGAAAAACAGTCTTTTCACAGAAGCCCCATGAAAACTTAGCTTTGTGGACTGCTGTTTCGCTTTTATTTGTGGCATCTTAAATGATATGACATTTCAGATGCCAAGACTTGAACTACCAGCCTTGGAGTGCTCCCAAACACCATTTCTTCAAGTTCTGCAAATATCTGGGGGTACACGCCAAGGCTGTTACAAAGCAACTGAAATACATTCGGCATGGATTGTTTCTGGGGGGAGTGGCATGCCAAATTATGAGACATTTTGCTGTGAGAAAGTACAGGGTTGGGGATTCTGCTTCCCATTAAGAGCCAGATGGTACACATCAAAAGAAAATTGCCTGGGCTCTGAAGATGGAGGCTGATGGGAACTGATTGTTGAGATGGTAATTTTTACATTTACAGAATACAGACGATGCCGGGTTCATTGCCGAGTGGATACAGTTTGTGAAATTTCTCCCTGCTGCCTTGCTGTAGTATGACTAAATCATCCCACACCGTCTGGCCTGCGCTGGCATTGGATGGTCAGATTCGAGCCGCTTATGCCTATCTGGGCAGCAAGCTGGTCAGTGCTAATGACCAGCTCATTCACCTTTACTTATTTATTTAAAATATTTCTTCCCTGTCCTACACGAAAATTGTCCCAGGACAGCTTACAATAATTAGAACAATAAATAAACAAAGCAATAAGTAAACAACATACATAATAGCAACAAAAACCAAAAGGGAACTGTATATACTAAAACCAGTTCAAAATCCATAATCCTTAAAATAATGGGTAAATAAAAAGGTTTGTACCTGGCACCGAAAAAAATATAAAGTTGGCGCCAGGTGATCCTCTCTAGGGAGCACATTCCACAGTCTGGGCGCCACCATGGAGAAGGCCCTCTGCTGGGTGGATGCCCTCTTTACCTCCTTCAGGGAGCGCTCCCAGAGCAGGACCTCTCCTGCAGGTCTTAGGGGGCACAAGGGCATATAAGGAAGGAAACGTTCCTTCAGGTATCCTGGTCCCAAACCTTCAGCTTCTGCTCTCTTTGGACTTCACCGGAGGACGTGTTGTGGCGTTAATGGAGCCAGTGCCTGGCCCAGGTGATCCTCCAAGTCGTGGTGCCCAAAAGCCAGCATGGGGCACACGCCTGTCACAAACAGCCCCATGTCTCCCTTCCCTTGCATTGCAACGCTTTTTACGCTTCCATGAAGTCCTTACTGGCAGCGACACAAACCAGGGCTGGAAACTGTAGATGGAAGAGGAGCCCCAATTCTGAATTGCAAAGCAACCGCAGACGACAGTTTGCTGGTTTGGATGCCGCACCAGACTTTGGGTGAAACTGAAAGTGAGTTGTGCAAGAGAGGAGAAGCGCGGGATTCAGCCATGCGTTTCCGATTCCCCTTCCCAGCCGGACTCCCATCTGGCTCCAGTCCGGTGGAGGGGGAGCCGTGGCCCTCCAGGTGTGGCTGAATGCCAGCAGCCAGCAAGCCCCATGGCCAGGAAGGAGCCAGCTTGGACCCCAAAATCTCTGGAGGGCCACTGGCTCCTTGCCCCAGCCCTGACCCAAGAGCAACGTTTCTCTCCAGCCTGGTCTCAAGCCCCTGTAAAACACATCACAATACTCTGTGATGCCCCACCGCTCCGCCAGTGTCTGCAGAGGAGTCGCTTCTGGGTTGGTGCCTTGGAAACGGCTTCACTACAGACTGGGAATCGCTGTTGCCCTGATCGCCCCTTCACTGTTGACCAGCATAACATGCATTTGTATGGCACTTTTCCACAGTCAAGAGGAGCCCACAGCAGCTCCCAGTATATCGGATGAGGAATGGCCTTTTTTGGTGATGGTGAACATTCACAAGAAAAATACATGGCGTGTGGCCGCATTTAGCATTCACGGCGACGAAATACCCAACACCTGGTCATACGCGGAGTGGCTGATGCATCTCTTCTTATTACATGTGCCTCTTACGCAAACCTCGTTTATCCAGAATGCATCCATTTCATGAGTATGACTAACAAGTTCCCTCAAAGAAGGGCGGCAGTGTTGCCCTGCAAGAAGCGAGCGCAGGCGTATTTCCAGGTAGGGTCGCCGCTTAGCCAGCCGCAGGCCTTGGTGTAATCCAGGCGAGGCCTTGCGGGAAGACTAGCGGGCGTCAGTTGGATGAATGGCTGTCCAGGAAGGAAAGAGCGGCGCTGGGTACGCATCGTCACACTTGGAGGGGCAAGCAAGGCAAGCATCTCCAGAGGTGATTTGGGGAGGGGGGGTGCTGCAAAGAGTCGCACAGCTGCGTGCTTTCTGCTGCCTCTGTTCAGACGTGCTTTGCGGATTCTGGAAATGGAAACCAAGCAAGACTTGTTTGTTAGCAGGGAATGTGGGATGAGGGTACCTGAGGTGCCTCCTCTGGGAAAAAAACCCAGCTGTCTGTCCAGAGCCTTAACTTCCACAGTGAATGCCACTTGCAGCAATTCCACCTTCCCTTTATTTGGAGATTAGCTGCAGTAAGTAGGAAGTCCTGAGAGGGCTACAGCTTGAAGATGTCACTGTAAAGTTCTGTGAATGAGGCAGGACAATGGCGGGACAAAAACCTCGTCTGGAAGCACCATTGCAGCAGGTTTTGCTGGAGTGATAGATTTATCTGAGCCTCATTCAGTTCACAGAAGGCGTGTGCCAGAGAGAAGCCTGCTGGACTTCCATGTTAAATCAGGAGAAGTTGATGGCTTCTGCTATTGCTTGCGGCACCAAACCGGCTTGGCGTGGCCCTGGACACAGTCCACCAGGAAAGAGAAGCCAGTTCCTCATGAGCTGCTCCCGCTGTGCTCACTGCAGGCACGGGCTCCATCCATCCGCTTGTCTTCCCAACCTCTTGCTCTCTTCAGCCGTTTGGACTCTTTAACTGGCAGGTTCCAATGCATCAGACTTGTATACGCTCAACAGACTGTCGCAAAACAAACCTGAAACCAAAGATACTCACTATAAATGCAAAGGCGAACTATTTACAAAATGTTAACACAAATCTTGATTGTATAGAATGCACTTACATTTTTGGGTCTGTCACTAACGGTGCTAACGTTTATGCAGATTTGAGTAGGATTAAATAAAAGCACCGTGGAATAGGAAGTTCGGAGTCTTCCCGGCAACACCTCGCTGTGTCTTTCAAGCATCTTTGCCTAACACCGATTACTGTAGGTCTGGGATTAGGGTTCTGTGGCCCGCCGGAGTTTGTTGGACCACCTCGCCAAGCCAACATGGACCTAGCCAACCTGGAGGGATGGTCATCCTCAGGTCAGGTGCATTGGTGCAGGCCAGGTCCATGGCATGGTCAGGTGTGAGCCGTTTTATGAAGGGGATCGCGCTTGACTCGCCTGGCCACAACCGCCACTGCAGACCTTCAAGGGTGGAGGAGCAACAGGGCCTAGTAATGGCGGAGAGCACAGCCTGGGCACTTGAACTGGATCGCTCTCAGTAGGCGTGCAGAGTCCTGCAGACTTGCTAACCAAATAGCTTGGAGGATGCACTTTTATGACCTCGCTCTTTATCTCCCCTCTCTGTCCCCGCCCCGGCACCCGCAGTCATTGCAGGAGTTTGAGTTGATGGAGAACCTCCTGAAGAGCAAGCAAGAAGGGCCCGAGTGCTGGGACCAACGGAGCTCGGTCAGCGTACGCTCCTCCTTCGCCCGCCAGGAGAGGAACCGGTTGCTGTGGGAGGATGTCTCCATCATCGAGGAAGATGCCACCAAGATCACCGCCCTGAAGCTGCGGCTGGATGAATCTCAAAAAGTGCTTCTCAAAGAGCGGGAGTGAGTGCGAGGGACCCCTGTGGGGTAGAACGAGAGCACGGGAGCACAGCAGGGTGCAAAGGGGCCAGAAGACCCTCTGGTCCAGTCCCTGCTCAGTGCCCCTTGCTCACTGGTGTCTTCAGGATGGGCGGATCTCACGGCCTTGCAGAGAAGCGCGGCCCAGCCGCTCAGCCTTGCTGTGGCGCTCTTGTCTCTTTCAGGGACAAGCTGTCCCTCAGCAAGAATATTGAGAAGCTGGAAGGGGAGCTGAACCAGTGGAAGATCAAGTACGAGGAGCTCAGCAAGAACAAGCAGGAGGTGCTGACTCAGGTGGGCAACCTCTGGACCCCTTTGCTGAAGGCCAAATCTTCCCTTCACCCCTCAAGGCTGACCTGTTCTGCTCTCCGAGGGATTGAACCCTGTGCCCAGGGGCTGAGTCCCAGTCTGCCCCCTGCGTTCTCCAAAAGACCATGGCCCCCCTTCCTTCCCCTCGATGGGTGACCATTTGGTGATTTCTCAGCTTATTTGCACAGTTCTTCCTACAGGTCCAAATGCCTCTTCCAGGGCGTAGTTGCTGGAAGAGCTTTAAGCTGAAACAGGCTGATAATTTTGGCCTGCACTCGGCAGGCTGAAAGAGGCTCACCGCTTCTGCTTTCAAAGACTGCCCAAGGAGGCTGGTGCCGCAAGGTCATCGCCTCCAGCTTCTCTCTCTCTCGACAGCTGAACATCCTCAAGGAGATCCACCAGGACGAGCTGGGGCGCATCTCAGAAGACCTGGAAGACGAACTCGGGGCGCGATCGAGCATGGACAAGAAGTTGGCTGAGCTGCGTTCAGAGGTGAGGAGAAGCGTGAACTTGAGTTGGAGACCTGAAGCAGCACTTGAAGGTCTCGTTACTGACTTCCCAATATTGTTTAGTGACCAAGCTCCGATGATGCTGGTCTTGCTCCAAAGAACTGTAAGCACAGGCGGGTTGACCTTGCGGGGGGAGAAGTGAGAGGGACTGATCGGTACTCGAGAAGGGAGTTTTAACATATTTTTCAACTCTTTCAATGGTATCTTGAATTCAATTTATACCTGAATATTACAGAACCTTTTCAGGGTGGAATAGCAGCTGCTGAGGGTTCAAGAAAGAGATCCGACACCCAGTTCCCAGCATTCTTACAAGCCCAGTATTTTCATGCACCACTAACCTTCCCCGGCCAAGTACCTCTAGATGTCTTCAGTTCCCATCACACCTAGCCCACAAGGGTTTGGCATGCTAGGAGTTGTTGTCCAAAATATCTGTGGGGTGCCAGGTTGGAGAATAACATTACCCCCACAAGCATTCCACCTCCCCCACAAACCCCAGGGGCAGGATATGCAAATGAAGAGGTAAGATTATAAGAAGCAAAGTAAGGTAAGATTATAAGAGGTTAGATTATACGAATGAGGCTATACTTCTTAATGGCTTCCTCTTTCATTCTGGGGAGTGAATGAAATGGCCTGTATTCCAGGCGTGGTTTCAAAGGCTTTTGGAAGACAGAGTGTCAAAGCGGCAGCTGGTCAGTCGAATAAATCGCTCACACTGGTCGCTTGTGGCCTTCAGCGAGCCCAGCTGGACGCCTCCCCCACGCTGCGGAGGGGGCTCTTCTAACCGGCCCCCTGGCCTGCTGGCCAAGCTGCCCAGCACCTTTTCAATAGTCGGCCCATTCGCCCCACCTCCCCCTTCTCCCCAAGATGGAGCGCCTGCAAGCCGAGAACGCAGCGGAATGGGGCAAGCGCGAGCGCCTCGAAACTGAGAAGCTGAACCTTGAGCGGGACAACAAAAAGCTGCGGGCGCAGATTGAGGACCTGGAGGAAGTTCTGGCCCGGAAGAGGCGCCAGACGGCCAGCGCCCTCGACACCGATTTTAGGACCGTACAAGCAGAGCTGTTTGAGAAGAACAAGGTGAGCTGAGTGGAGGGCAGAGACAGGGTGGGTGCCCTGCCCAGGATGCAGCCCCTGCATGCATCTGGCTCAAGGGATTCTGGGGCGGGCAGCTCCGGCCCAGCCCTGACTTTGGACTCTGGGAGTGGCTAGTCCCGCTACTACTTGATTCAGACATGGAGGGCTGCAACCTAATGCTGGGGTATGGAGTGTTCCTACCCAGCCAGCCAGGCCCTCTCCCAGGACACTCCATTCTGTTCCCTGGCCCCATGGCTGCCCAGCACACTCCCTCTTGAGGTCATCATCTTGATTCCTAATTTTGTTCCCGTACTTCTGCAGTCCTTCAGACTTGTGCACAACGCCTGATGTTCAGGCCGTGCAGCATCCGTGCTCACATGAGGTTCCGTGCAGGGCTAGCACAGATGGCTTGTGGCCACTCAGAGGTGTTGGCCTAGCAGCTCCCAGCAGCCCTGGACAGCTGAGCTAATGGCGAGGGATGATGGGCGTTGCAATCCCGGGCGTCAAGTTGTTGTGCATGAACACTTTCCATTGATACCTCTCCAGGTTGCTCTCACCCTGCACCGTTGGCTGTGCTGGCTAGGATTGACGGGTGGTTGTCCACCCACATGTGGAGGGACCCATGTTCCCCAGCCTTGTTCTAAGTTGTTCCTCGGAGCACAGCACAGTGGGAAGCCCAGAAGCAGGGGGTGCTTCAGAAGTGCCTTTCTGAGAATCGACACCAGGGGGCAGCAAAACCATTCCATCAATGGAAGGAGACCGGACTGGGCCAGTGAAACTTCCCCTGGACTAGCCAGAGCTGCAAAAGATCAAAGAGTCCAGTGACACCCTGAAGGGTCACACATGCAAAAAGTAATGAGACTCGAGCTTTTGGAGCAGAGCGGTGGGTTCAGTCCAAACCAAGAGTTCTGAAAGGGGTGACTTTCTCAGCCATCCTCAGTCTGCTTCAGGCATGCCTGAAGAGAGATGCCTAAATGCCAAAGAGAGAAATATTTCTTCCAGTTCAGAAGCCAACCCTTCTGGGAGGAGCCAGGTTGGAGACTGCTGCCCTGCAGGAAGTGCTTCTCGCCAGCTGGAAGCACTTCCTGACAGTCAGGACCCCGAGGGTGTGGAATGAGCTCCCACGGGAGGTGCGGGTGTTCAAGAATAGGCTGGACGTCCACATGGTGGGCGTGTCGTGAGCGGAGCTGGCTGGTGCCGGGAGTCAGACTAGATGACCAGGGAGGCCCCTTCTGACTCGCTTTGTTTCTATGTTTCTAAGTGGCAAGAAGGATGGATGCCAAACCAGATCACTTCTTGGAAACTTACTTTCTGTTTTCCCTCAGCAGACAAACTGCTAGAATATTTTCCCCACTGCCTCCTCCTTCTCTAGGAAGGGGTGCTTTTTCATACTCTTTCATGGGACTCTAGCGAGCCCCAAAGGTAACCAAGATGCACCAGGAGGTTTTAAACGAGTTATCGGGATATAGTAGTTGCCATGCTTTGATGGAAGGAAAGGATAATTCTGTCCTCATGGAAGTCTTTAGCAAATAGTCTGGATGATGAACTTACAGGTTGGTCCATCTCCAGTCCTGGGTTAACCACCAATGGATCCCCCCTGGGAGAGGGGTGGCGGGTAGGACTTACTGAGGTTTAAGCCTGGACATTCCAGCTACTTCAGGAGTGTCAAGCCGCTTTCATCCAGAGATCGAGTTCCATTTGGAATTCCCCATGCAGAATGGGATTCTCCATTTTTGAGAAGCTCCTGGAGGATTTCTCCAGGCAAACGGCAGAGGGCTTAGCCAACGTCTGAAAATGCTATCCGGATGCTCCCAAGCAAGCAAAACGCAAAAGCCTGGTGAGCGCCAAATAATCAGCTGGTCGTGGCCAGTGGGAAGCCCTGGAGTGCCCGATGGGAACCCAGGTGGTCCGGGGGTGGCGCGTGGGCCCAGGAACCGGCCGTCTGCTCTGCATCTGGGTCGAGGCTGGGGCGGGCCTCATCCCGGACTTGGAGACGGTCACTGCGCGTCTGCTGTTTCCTGCCCAGGAACTGGCCGACCTGAAGCACGTGCATGCCAAGCTGAAGAAGCAGTGCCAGGAGAAGATGGTGGAGCTGGCGCACGCGAACCGGCGGGTGGAGCAGCACGAGGGCGAGGTGAAGAAGCTGCGCCTGCGGGTGGAGGAGCTCAAGAAGGAGCTGGCCCAAGCCGAGGATGAGGCAAGTCCCTGCCGCTTGTACGGCGTGTGGCACTGGGGGAAAGATGGAGACGCTGCCAGAGGGACTGGAATGCAGAACGTTTTCTGGAGGGCCTCCATCTGTCGGGAAGGATGGTCCTGCATTGAGCAGGGGTGAGCTAGATGGCTCCCCCACTCCCTGCCAAACACAGAATCACAGAATCCTGGAATAGGAGAGCTGGAAGGGGCAGGAGGGCCATCGGGTCCAACCCCGTGCCCAGCGCAGGCCTCCCAGTTAGACCAACCCTCTGGGAGGGTTGTGAACGAGTTCACTCTGATGCCTTCATTCTTAGTTTTGGCTTACTTCTTCTCTCTATTCTTATTCTATTTCTGCAGCATCTGTGGTGGGTATGCACCACTGCCTGTCTACCTTGCAGTTATGAGTTCAGGTTACCATTGCGATGACCCAGGTGCCTAGGTAGTAAAACGGATGACTCTGTCTTTTGTATTTCACCTGTCCCATTCCAGCATCACTGCGAGTTAATGCCTGGTGAGGTGGACCTGAAGGTTTATGCCTGGCTAAATGGGTTAATCTTTGTGAAGGGGGCAAGACTACATTGTCTTGGCTGCAGTTGGTACCCACGCTTGAGAAACTGAGGCTAAGTATCACTGCCTTCTCCTACCTTGGTACAAGCTGCTAGGTATCGTGACTTTCTCTCTCGTTGTCAGCCTGTGCCTTTCAGCGACGCTGCCTTGCTGTGGGTGCCTTGGTTGATTCTGGGTGATACCAAAGATGCTCAGTGAGCCTAGAAGAGGAAGGAAGGAAGGAAGGAAGGAAGGAAGGAAGGAAGGAAGGAAGGAAGGAAGGAAGGAAGGAAGGAAGGAAAGCTGTTCTTCTGAGTCAGGGCAGTGCACGTTCAGCCCCAGTTCCTTGAGGGGTCTGTAGCCATTTTGGAGGGCAATAATCGCTGGCTTGCCGCCTCAAGAACGCATCCTGCAGCAGAAAGGGGGCTTTGGCGGAGGGCCCCGCTGCACGAGCGCTGTGCACAGGTGCCCGCTGCGCTTGGCATCCCCGGCCCCGGGAGCCAGCGCAGGGGTGGGCCGCAGGTGTCTGGCAGTGCATGGAGGATACAGAAGGTTGGCGGACAGGCCCTGCGCCAAGCCCCCGGCCGCGTGCTCACCCTCCCGTGTCTGTTTCTGTCTGCTCTGCAGCTGGATGAGGCCCATAACCATGCCCGGAAACTGCAGAGGTCACTTGATGAGCAAACAGAGCAAAGCGAGAATCTCCAAGTTCAGCTGGAACACCTGCAGTCCAGGTAGGGAAAGCAGAGCTGAGGCTAGATGGGCCCAGGAAGTGGGCACAGGGCAGGCGCGATGGGGCAGGCGCGGGAGATCCGCCGCGACCCACAAGAGGTCGCTGCGGCCAGAGACAGAGCGCTTGGCAGGGGAGCGTCTCCACAGAACTTCCTGGCTGGGTTTTGCTGGTGCGTGTGGTCCAGCGTGTGCTCACCCGGCCGAGGACTGCAGCGTCCAGTGATGCCGACTGCGCAGCCCAAGGCAGCATCTGGACACAGGACTAAGGGCGCTGGTGCTTGCAGCCAGGGGTCCTTTGATTTCTTTTTTCCCTCTGCAGCAGCTTTCGTTCTTGAGGTGCCCATCCCCTGTCCTATTTTACACACAACTTGCCTCTTCAAGAAGCTGCGGCAGAGGCACCTCAAAGGAATTTCTGCCTGAACATGCACTGCGTCTTATTCACGTGCAAATCAAGATAAACACGCTGGTCAGGAGGAGCGCTCAGGGTCTCCCTGATTTGCTATAGACGGGTTAGGAAAGTGCACCTGGAGGCTAGTCTGTCCTTTCCTGCTCACAGGCACACTGCCTCCGATCCTGAGTCATGAGGACTAGCAGCCGTGGAAATGCCAGAAAGTTATACATGTTGCAAAGCGTAAGAGGAAAGCATTACTGAGTACAGAGTAATTTTCCGAGTTACTCATTCCGTTGCTTTTACAAACAAACCTTGCCATAAACAGCAACATCTTACAATAAAAGAAACATTTTACTTCTCTGAAGAGCAGAGGCCACAAGCTCCAGGCAAAACCAAAGCTTCCCATCTCCATTCTCTGCTTCTTCTGCACTGTTGCCCTAATTTATTGCCCTTCCTTAACACTGATTCCTAGCAGTGCCCATCATCCTGGTAGATGACTGCAGCTGAGTCACCAGGGCTTTTGTTCTTAGAAAAGGGTAATTTGGATAATTTTGCTGGAAAAGGAGGACTGAACAAGGCTATGGAAAGGTGGTGAGCATCAGTAGCCCGGTCTTCTCACTGATAAATTACAGAGGTGCATCAAGGGGAGCTCTTCAAATTGCCGCCATCCGTTTCCTAGGGGCTCACCTGTCAGCTGCAGCTGCAGATGAGAAGGGAGGAGAGGACGCCAAGGCGGTGGGGACGTCCTGTTGGACCGGCGCACGAGGTGATGAATGGCACTAGGCTGAGGGGAAGCTCTCGGCCAGCCTCCCGCCGTCCCTCTCTGTCATATTTCCCAGAGGCAGGTTGGAAGGTTAAATGCAGCGTCTCCTTCCTTTGATCCGTACAGTCAAGGCTGGGCCCACGCCACATGCCGGCTGAAAGCTTGGCAGGAGCTCTAGGAGGAGTGGGCAGCTTAGAAACAGAGCGAGTCAAAAGGGGTCTCCTGGGCCATCTAGCCTGACCCCCGGCTCCAGCCAGCTCCGCTCATGACATGCCCACCATGTGCACGTCCAGCCTATCCTTGAACACTCGCACCGATGGGGCCTCAACCACCTCCTGTGGAAGCCCATTCCACACCCTCGGGGTCCTAACTCAGGAAGTGCTTCCTGGCATCCAAATGGATCCTTGACTCCCTGAGCTTGGCTCCGTTGGAGCGCGTCCTGCCTTCCTCTGCAGGGGAGAACAGGTCTCTACCTATCTCTGTGTGACACCCCCTCACGTACCTGTATGTCACCAACAGATCCCCTCTGAGTCTCCTCTTCTCCAGGCAGAAGAGGCCCAGCTCCTTCAGTCTTCCTCTAGAATCCACTGCCCAGGGAGATGCGCTTGGCACTGGCACTTTATTCTTTTCTGCACCAGGCCAAAACTTTAATTCCCCAGTATTTTAAGGTTTAAATTGTTCTTTTAACGGGGACTTTACAGAAGAGGATGCTGTGCTTTGCTTGGTTTTATTGTAAGACCGTTCCGAGGCTCTTGGAAAGAGGACGGTATGGGAAAGGTTTAAATACGCCAATAACCTTGGCCCACGAGGGCTACAGGCCTCCCTTGGCCTAAATGCAAACCCCTCCACAAGCCCTCAGGCACAGAATCGTGCCTAGGGCCAGAGGATGGTGAGGCTGAAGCAGGCAGCACAGACAGAAATGGGGTGCGGGGGGGACACCAATTTAATCTGGCAGTTCTGCTCCCCGCAGGTTATTCCGCTGAAGAACGGCTTCCCCCGGTTTCCCTCGCGTCCACGCCGTCGGCGTTCTTCTTTCGAATCTGCACGCCAGGTCCAGCTCCCCCATTTTGGCCTGCACACCTGCCCCATTTGCCGCTGGAAGGGTGCCCCACGGACCCCAGGCCAAGCGGGGAGACTGGCCTGAGGCCTTCCCCTCCCCCCGAAGGAGACCAGACCTGGTGGGGTGACGAGGGGTGAGGTTAGAGGGCACACGACCTGCCAAGCAAAGTGCCTTTAAGAGATACTTCAGTTTTATTGCCTTTGAAAAGGGATTTTTTTTAAAAAAGATTTGCATTTGCTTCTCCAGCAATAAAACATGGAGATGCCTGCCAGACGAATCGATTCTGCTCCATCCAAAGAGCCTTTGAGCAGCTGTGCTCTTTGAAAAAAAGAAAGGGAAGGAACGAGAGGAGGGGGGATGATTTTTATCTTCCTATTTTATTGGGGATGTTGCCATTAAATCATAGGAGAATAATGGAGCCTTCTCTCCCCCTCCCCAGCAGATCCCGCCGCCCTCTTTCCTTAAATAATTCATGTTTTTTTCCGGTAAAAAGCAGCTGAAGTCAGGCAGTTGCACCTCGAGAGTTAAGGAGTGGTATTCTCTCTCCGAGCCTCATGGCTCGGGACTGGAAAACCGGCACATAAATTTTCAGGGGTGAAATTTAATGCTGGGGAAATCAGAGTGCTAACCATGCTGAGGATGCCTAGCTGATGATGCGGCTCTGGTGGGGGAGCCGAGAGGCTGGGAAGCCGCCGTCCCTTTCTGTAGCCCGTCACAAGTCCCCGGTCTTTGCTGGGCCGCTGTTGGTAGCCCGTTGGCTGCACCAGGGATCCTGACCTTTGCTCATGGTGGCAGTGCTTTCCCACGGCCGCGACGCTTGTCCCAAGTTGGCAGCCCGGGTTCCCCACCACGAAGGAGATGGGCGCTCTCCTGCAATGTGCCTGGCCCGGTTCTCCACCACCCTCCCCTGACTAGATGTGCTTGGCTGTAATCCCCAGCACACCTGGAGAGTGGCCAGCCAGGACGCCGTTTGACCTTGCAGCCGGAGTGTCCACCAGGCGCATTGGGTTTCCACAGCACAAGCCCAGTGGTGCGCATGTCGAGCGATCCCCCAAGCCATCACCTGCCCACTTCTTCTGTGGCCAAGGATTCCCCGTGTGGGACATAATCGCCCTGGCCTGGCAGCAGACCTCCCAGCCCTTCCCTCGCAGGCCTGCTCGCCTTCTAGCTCCTTGCCCAGAGCTCACTGCTTAACAAAAACAGTTAACCATTCTGTATGTACATCGAGCATCCATGTGCTCTGGACACATGCCTTGGCTGCAACCTGGACAGTCACCCTCTTCAAGGGCCGCCTCCCCGCACTTGGGGCTGTCCAGACCCCTCTTCCCCGACCACTAGCCCACAGGCCGTTGCTGGGGGGAGTCCAAGGGAAGTGCAGAGGCCCTGCTTTGCCACTGGAGGCTCCCAGGTGTGACCCCCGGGCTCCCAAGGAGGCCCTGGGTAAAACTCCTGCTGGAAACGCTGGGCAGGAGTGGCCCAGGGGGGCAGGGGTTAACTCTGCCTAGGGCAGCCTCCCAGGTGCCTAAGGCCAGAGCATCCAGAGAGAGTGTCATCTTGGAGAGGCGGCCAAGAGGTCCCCAGCCCTTTGCCGTACTCTTCTCAGGTGGGCCGGCCACTAATTCATCTGCATACGCAGAGCGCCGCGCATGTGATTGCATGCATGAAAATAGTCCACACAGGCATTCCTGCCCATCGACATCCCTGCATTCATCTTCTTCAACCTGGTGCCATGCAGATGTGTAGGACTGCAACCCCCACCATCCCCGAGCCAGCTGGCACAAATATGAATGGCCTTTATAGTATTCGCATGGAACAGAAGGTCTGGACAGACTGCGTGATCCTGCGGTGTTGGCTGAACAAGTTCACCCGCAGCCCACCCACTCCTTGATCAAAGCCTTTTGGGATCCTGGCTCTGAAAAAGAGCCGACGTGAACTTGGCTTGCAGTAATCCAAAGGTCTATTAAGTGCCGCGTGTATGCCCAAATTCGGTTTTACCAGCATGTAACACCCACTTGCTTGGATGAATGCGAAGCGTGTGTAAAGCGGATGCCGTGTGTGCAGGGATGGGTCGGGGTGGGAGGGCGGAGGATGCACGGATGTCTCCTAGAAGGCTTTAAGGGCAACAGTTGGCTTCGTGCGGAGAACGTAAAGTACAAGAAAGGGGCAACGAAAATCTGTGAAAGGCCGATTACCTCCAAGATTCCCTGCGCTCCCAGGGAAACATTGGCCAGAACGAAAAAGAAATTCAGTGGTGGATCATTTCTCAGATTGCCTTTCCGTGCGGATGTGACAGCGCATCTTGCCATGCTTCTGAAAGTTTGCAGAAAATGGGACACAGGACTGGAAGGAAGAGGTGGCATTGTGGTGGGAAGACAGACTAGACCTCTTCCTGGAGGGAAGCAGGGTGTCCACAGGCGTTGAACACCCCTCATTACACGAGGGATAGGGCAAGGTTGGAACCAGTGCAGCCAAGGGCCACCGGGTGCTGGTCAGTCTGCAGGGGAAGCCTGTGAGGAGAGACGGAGGGAGCTGGGTCTCTTCAGTCTGGAGAGGAGGGGACTCCGAGGGGAGCTGTACTGGCGACATGCAGGTATGTGGGGGGGGGGGCGCCACACAGAGGTGGGTCGTGACCTGTTTTCCCCTGCAGTGGAGGGCAGGACGCGTTCCAATGGAGCAAATCTCAGGGAACCAAGGGTCAGGGTGAATGCTAGGAGAAATTCCTCCCTCATGGTTAGGACCCCAAGGGTGTGGGATGGGCTTCCCTGGGAGGTGGTTGAAGCCCCATCGCTGAGGGTGTTCAAGATAGGCTGGACATGCACAAGCTGGAGCCGGGGGTCAGACTAGATGGCCCGGGAGACCCCTTCTGACTCGCTCTGTTTCTATGTTCTTCCTGACTTTCTTACCCCTGTGACTTGGTACAAAACTCCGTAGTCTGGTAAGCTGCCCCAGAGGCCTCTTTCATCAAAAAGCAGCTGAACAAACTTTTAGGTAAATAAAAAAATATCGCCAGAGGGAAATGGTCACAGATTTGGACTGCCTTCCCCTGTGTGAAGGTCACAGTTGAAGCCAACGCACTGCCGTGATCTCTCAGTGGTGGCCACTGGCTAATGGGGACAGAGGTTGCAGGCCAAAACATCTGGCACCCGCCTCCCCCAGCTGTCCCGAGTTCAGAGTTAGCATGTTCATGCAACTTGAATCTAACAAACGATCCAAGTTACCCCAATTTGCCCTTTTTGTCTCAATATACCGCAAGTATTTGACCTGGAGTATTTCGGGGCAAAAAATGAAAGCCAGCTTGATGTCATCTAAATGTTATGCAGCTTTTTTTTTTTTTTTTACTGGAATGCTTAAAGACTTGTGAAAAATTACAGCCAATACCATGTGACGGGGTTTGAATGTGCAGGCCGTACATGGTTTGAATTTAAACAAGAGGTGAATGGGAGAAACAAAGGCACTCGCACACTGTAAGCATGCTGAATGAATTCTATGTTATTAATTTATATAATTATATTTGACGCATGCCTGCGTTGAGCCGAACGAGGATGGCTGCACAGCGGAGCCTGTGGCCAGGAGTTGCCTGGCGGCCCCCCCACTTTGTCATGGGGCTGCCCCCCACTGGGGTGGACAGACAGCCCCCCCCCCCCGAAGGTGACGAGGCTGGGGGTGTGAGTGTGCCTTTGCTCGGGTGGCCGTTGGCTCAAAGGCTCGGCTGTGTCAACGGAGGTTTCTCCAATGCTCGTGGCGCAGGATCCGTCCGCTCCTTGTCCTGCCTTCACTGTGGCTTCTTCTCCCTGGGCCAGGCTCCGGCGTCAGCAGAACATCCCTCTTTTCGGGAAGATCCGTGGCTCCCGCTTCGGTCCTGACGACCCCGGAGACGGCACCAGTGACCTCGACGAAGACGAAGACTTGCAGATCCAAGTTACATAGCGGCTGCCACCTGAGAGACGCTTCGGGCGTGTCGGAACGAGCACACGGCGCTGGCCTGAGCTGGGCCCTCGGGCTGGGTCGCGGGGCCTCTCCTCCCTTCCCCGACTCGAGGACAAGCCCAGACCAGCAAGAGAGGCTGGGAAAGGGGGCACGGTTGAAACCTCTGCGCTCGTCTCCCCACAAGATGCTTGACGGAGTAGGGTGGGAGTGGTGTGCTGCGCGTCCTCTCCCCCAGCTGCAGCCCACGTGCTGTCCATGATGCTTTAAAGAACAGACCTGGGCACGCGAGCATCCCTGCTCCAGGCCTATGGGCCCCGTCGGCCTGAATTTAGACTCCTGGTGTGCAGTCCTCCGTCCCCAGGCTCCTCACCACTGCCCAGCAGGCACCTTGGCAAGCCGCGGTTCATCCCGGTCCGTACAGAGCCAAGCTGATGACGACAACCCTTGTGCTAGGGAGGGGTGAATCAGAGCAACCCATGTGCCCTCCCCTCCTGACAGGCACCCCTGCGGTGGACTGCTGGGTTACCTTTGTGCCCCATGCATGGAACCCGTGCTCACACAAAACTCTTGACCGAAGGACTAGGTGGGTGACCGCACATGCTGGAGAAGCTGTCCTGGAACGCATCAGCCCAGCCTTCTCTTTATGTACATGTGTATTTGCATTGGTACATGTTATGTATTCTAAATGTTGAGGCAACCACGGCAGGGTTTCTCCCACTCCTGCAGCAAGCAGCCAAAAGACTTCACCACAAAAGACGCCAGATCAAGTCTCCCCACACCCTTTGCCACAAACATCTTTCAGCCCGCACCTCCCACACACCAGCACCGATATGAGGATAACTCGGCTGGCTTTTTAAGGTTGTAAAGATCACAAAATAGTGGTCTGATTCGGTTGCAGTGCGAAGCCACACGAGAATGAGTGTTGAGTTTACGCTGTGTGTGCATACATGCTGCTCCAGCACAGCTGTGAGGAGATGCTTAGAAGCATCAGCTTCCATTCTAGGTCATCCACAGTTTACTGTGTAGACACCAACCAACTGTGGTTGATCATAACTATGGTTATAGGAAATAAGCCAGGTTCCAACCATCATTGAGGAACTTGGCCACTTTTCACAAACCATGGCTAAGGTTAACCACATTTGCCAGCCAACACACCACATCGCAGTTGGTTTCGTGCAGAAGTGGAAACTTGACATCCGCACCTTGTCGCGGTGCTGGGGAGGGGCTTGTGCAGAGCCATCTCGCCCAACCCACAGTCAAGAGGTTTATTCTGTTGTGCTCCATGGGGAAAAGGACAGGCTTTTAAAAGTCACGTTGTGGCCCAGGGGCATGCTGGCAGGGGGCCAAGGAGTGGAATGAGAGGGCGATTCTCCTGTGGACGCTGTCGCAGCTGCCCAAAATTAGTGCTCCAAGAACCCTGGTTGCCATGCAGTGGGGAGGGGGCATTGCAGTCATGTGCAGTGAACTGGCCTCCCCCATTTGCCCCCCTTGTAACGACTGGGCTTTACAAATGTGGGTTGGGTGGCTTAAACCTTCCCTCTCCAGGTGCCCCCCAGGCACAGAAACCTGGGCTGTAAAGGCTTAATGGAGTGGGGAGGGAGGGAGACAGCTGCAGGAGGAAGGGGGGAGGCAGGGAAATGGGGCAAAGCGTGTGCATGGGGGGGTGAAGAAGAAAGAACACGAGCGGGCACGAGGTGGTGCTGAGCACTGTCCCCATCCAGGGCAGATACGCACCCCCCGGAATTTGGCCCGTGGGCTGAAAACGTTCCTCATCCCTGCGCTGAACCAGGAGTGGTGTCTCTGGATGCAGCTGGTGCATGTGAAGTGCCTCCAGCACTTGGATGCACTATATAAAAGCAAAGTCTGGCTGTTGCAATGGGGTCCTCGCCCCGATCCTTCGTGCCATCCATCTCTGTTGCTCACCTTGCTCTAACCGCTGTGGGAATAAATCTTGGACATCTGGCAAACTCGAGGGGCAGAAAAGGACGCCGGGAGATGTCCAAGCAGGGGCTTCCCTAAATCAGCCGGGTGTCCACCTAGTCCTTCCTGGCTTTTAAGTCTCCAGCTCTTCTGATGTTTCTCCTTCATTTGTTGAAGACTCTGCAATGCCGGCCCTTGGGATCTGGAGAAAAACGTTCTAATTCATAGGTGTACAAAATTGCACAGGAGTTTCCTTAGGGGTGCAGACTGGGAAACTTTGGTTTCTGACCTGGATTTCTGCATATTGCGACATTGTGGATTGGTTTGGGACAGAATGCCCGTGACCCTAGTTTTAGCAGACTTGATGCTGCTTATAAATTAAAAGACCAGCTTGGGTGAGATGAGAATTCCACAGCGGGGTGGCTGGTCGTTCAACCCTTTGCAACAAACGTGAATTTCTGTCAGTCTTCAGCACTCCTGCCCTTCAGGTGGGTGGGACTGCAGTTCCCATACATTCCAGCCCCACTGCCTGACTGGCCAGTTGCAGCTGACCGGGGAACTCTCTATAAGGTGCCTTCTGAACCCGTAAAAACCCAGCCCCTCTACTCGGGAGCCACGTTCCAGCTCTCCTTGGGGCGATTCTCCAAATGGCCATTCGTTAAGCATTAAGGGAAGTCCCTCCAAAAAGAGGACAAATGTGCATGCCATTTGCATATGCTACCTGAGAAGTGCACATTGAGCAATATTTACAGCTGAAGTGGAAAGAGGACACCCCACCGCAGACTCCCTCTGCTTTTGCCTTCTAAAGGCAACAGCCTGGCCACGCCGTTTCTTGTGCATGCTTTTTGCCTTAAGAACTCGGCTCAGAAACTGGTCCATGGGCAGGCCTGGGCAGCCTGGTTCCTCCGCTTCACCTGGGAACACCGCTAGGTTCATCCCCATTCTCCATTTTGGGGGGAACAGCCTACTTCCTCCTCCCTAACCGAAGCAAAGTGTCTCCGCCTTTTCACTGAGAGATCCCCAAGAATCCGCTGCTGCGGCGAAAGCATTTGGGGCCTTCTGCCATTATCTAGCAGTGTCCTTTGTGAACGGCCGGCGTTTCCTTCAGAGACGAGAAGGACCTTTGGGAGGAAAGCACGATGTTCCTTCTGGAGAGGGGATTCCACTTGACAGCCCTTAATCAATGTCCTAAAACCTCGGTCCCCCTCCTTGTGGGTGCGTGTGCATCTGTGCGTGCCCAGGCGTGCGTGCCAAGCATTTCTCTCTGAGCTGTTGCATGAATAAAACATCGGCATGCAATTACCAGCTCTCCAAGGCTTGCGCAGTTCCATGGCTAAAATGGTTCTTGGAGGTGAGCCCAAAACAATGGTTAAAAATTAAGCGATAATGGCCTGTGATCGCCATATTACAGCAAATGTGGCTTCACAGTTCCACCCTCTCGGAGTGATGCAATCGGCGTGTGCGCGCTTCCCCCACACGCAGCCGCAAAAGGGCCTCATCCTCACAAGATGTTGCTGGGCCCAACCCCGGCCTCGCAGAGGATCGGGAGAGGGCCCGGCTCCTGCTTTTTGGAAGCCTGCGAGCTGCCTGCGCTTGCTGCCATCCCGCGAGCCTCTCTTCCAACAACAACCCCATCAGGTGGGCTGGGCTGAGGGTCTGACTGGCCCAACGTGACCCTCATGGCTGAGAGACAACCAGAACCAGGAGTCCCACTCCTACACCCTCGCGACCAAGCAACGCTGGCACGGCGTTGATGCAAACTTTCATTATTTCTGAATTTGCACTTATGCATAAACTGCACGTGCTCATTTCCTGCAAACCACTGTCCTGTTTTGGCCTTGCATTCCCTGCTTTTTGAGAGGTCAGAAGTGGGTGCCCTAATTGAAGGAGGCGAGGGGAACAAGGCTTTCCCCTCAAACTTGGGTGGGCACGATGCTGGCGAGGCTTCTGGGACAGCGATGCTCCCACCTGGCATGAGAAAGTTCCCTGGACAAAAGCTTTGGAGCGGAAGGGCACTCGGACATGGGAAGGATGCTCAGGCAGGAACCAGGAGATGCAGGGGTATTAAACATTGATATTTCAGTGAGATAATTCTGCTTGATCCGGCTTTTAATTGATTGCCTCAAAGAGAAGTGCCCTTCTTGGTTGCTGCTGGGTTTGTTTTGTTCTTGTTTTAATTTGTTGCAAACATTAAACTTTTTTATAGCCCAGTAAATCAAGGCCAGAGTGGTGCAGGTATCCCCACAAATCATACGCCCAAACTCGGACAGCGGTGCGCTTGGAGGACGGTTTCCGTGAGGCACGCAGGTGTGGAGGAAGGTGTGAGCGGAATTCCTTGCCCATGTGCTGGGGAAGCGAGGCCGGGCATCAGGAAAAACCCGCTCGGCCCGGCCCCCTTCACAGGCGGTGCAGCTGCTCCCAGCCGCCTCTGCCGTGCCGGGAATGAGCAACTGCACCCTGCAGAGCGGCCTTCCAGCCATTTTGCCCAGTAAGTCCCAGCATCCCAGACCCTTGGCCCTGCTCTCTGGGAATACTGGGAGTTGCCCCCCAGAACATCCGGAGGGCACCAGGTGGGGGGAGCTGCCCCATGGCAGTTTGCACATTGCCAAAAGAGCTCGAGTGAGGGCACCGATTTACCTAACATTTGTGTATAGAAATTTGTACGGGAGGTACAAGTATAGAAATCCTAGCTCTAATTTAACTAGAAACATAGGACAGGTCACCATTGTTGGGGAAACTGGCCACATGAGCAGTATGCCTGTCCTCTGTCCATGTGCTGAGCGCTGCTGGGCAACTGCACCGCCCAATCCATCTTTCTGAGGGCTGTTTTCTTGAAGCTGGACTCCGACCGCACTCTTGGCGACCAGAAGGCTCTAATGAACTGCCCTGGGTGGGGCTGGAGGGGCCCTGCCACTGGGAGCCTCTGCTCAGCCTAGCCAGCCCCGGAAGGAACGCTACTCCGTCAGCAACTGTGGCTTTTCTGGACCCTGCCTTGTGGCTGATCTTCTGTGCTACGGACGTCTAGCCTCCGGCTCGCTCTGCGCGTGGACTGCATAATGCGTCTGACCACGTAGCGGTGCTTTGGCCTTAGCCTGCCTGTTAACCATCCTTGCCTACTGGGCTGAAGTCTTTGTGCCTGAGCCGTTGGCCACTTGCTGCCGTGCAGTTTAGGTCCCCCCCTCGATTTAATCCCATCCCGCCTTTTTTTGCTGCAACAAACCAAGTGTGACTTGCACAGTCCTTCTCTCTGTGTGATCCTCACAACAATCCTGCGAGGTAGGTTGGGCTGAGAGTGATTCCCCCAGGTATGGTTCCTCATAATTAAGCAGCTGCACTTCCCACATGGGCTGTCCCTGCAGGTGTCTGCAGCAAGGGTGGCTTATGCAGGATCATGTGTCCCCAAGCAGGTTAAGGACGGACTCGCCTGCCGGCTGGTCTCGCCCCGCACTGGAGCTCCCAACCCGTATTCCGTACTGCAGCTCACAGTTGCAAAGTCCTACACGCAAGGTGCCTTCTATAAAAAGTCTCCACCTTTCACAGTTTGCTTTTTCCTTTAAAGCAAAACAGACCTGGGACCCCAAAGTGCACCAGATTCTGCACAGAAATAGTTCTATGGGGGACTTTTATGCCCCCCAAAATAGGCCCCAGCAAAGGAACAAAAGAAGGTTCAGCAAAAATCGTCTTGGTCTCCTTCTGCTAAAATTCTACAATTTCCAGCAAACAAAATTAAAACCCATTGCTTTTTCCCCCTGTTATGTTGAGAAAAAATCAACAGATTAAGCCTTGTTAGGATCACAACTTTAAATATCTATGTTGTTGTTAGTTGCGAAGTCGTGTCCGATCCATCATGACCTCATGCACAACATGCCTCCAGGCCTTCCCGTCTCCCACCATCCCTGGAGTCCACCTAAGCTCACACCCTCTGCCCCAGTGACTCCATCCAGCCACCTCATCCTCGGCCGTCCCCGTCTTCTTTTGCCATCTATTGACCCCAGCATTAGGCTCTTCTCCAGGGAGTCCTTCCTTCTCAGTAGGTGGCCAAAGTATTTGAGTTTCTTCTTCAGGATCTGGCCTTCTAAAGAGCAGTCAAGGTTGATCTCCTCTAGGACTGTGGTTTGATCGCCTTGCGGTCCAAGGGACTCGCAGGAGTCTCCTCCAGCACCACAATCCAAAGGCCTCAATCCTTCAGTGCTCAGCCTTCCGTATGGTCCATCTTTCACAGCCATACATTGCAACTGGGAAAACCATCGCCTTGACTAAACGCACTTTTGTCGGCAGGGTGATGTCTCTGCTTTTTAGGATGCTGTCTAGATTTGCTATAGCTTTCCTTCCAAGGAGCAAGCATCTTTTAATTTCTTGGCCATGATGATCTTAGATCCCAGGAAAATAAAATCTGTCACTACCTCCATTTCTTCCCCATCTATTTGCCGGGAAATGCGAGGTCTGGATGTCATGATCTTAGTTTTCTTAATGTTGAGTTTCAAGCCAACGTGTGCACTCTCCTCCTTCACCCACATCAAGAGGCTCTTTAGTTCCTCTTCACTTTCTGCCATGAGAGTGGTATCATCTGCATATCTGAGGTTGTTGATACTTCTCCCAGCAATCTTAATTCCAACTGGTGATTCATCTAGGCCCATCTTTCTCATGATGTGCTCTGCATATAAGTTAAATAGGCAGGGCGACAGTATACAGCCTTGCCAAACTCCTTTCTCAATTTTGAACCAATCAGTGGTTCCATGTCCAGTTCTCACTGTTGCTTCTTGATCCGCATACAGGTTTCTCAAGAGACAAATAAGATGGTCTGGTGCTCCCATCTCTTTAAGAACTTGCCACAATTTGTTGTGATCCACACAATCAGAGGCTTTAGCATAGTCAATGAAGCAGAAGTAGATGTTTTTCTGGAACTCCCTAGCTTTCTCCATGATCCAACAGATGTTGGCAATTTGATCTCTAGTTCCTCTCCCTCTTCGAAATCCTGCCTGTACTTCTGGTAGTTCTCGGTCCACATACTGCTGGAGCCTAAGCTTGTAGGATTTTGGGCATAACTTTGCTGGCATGTGAAATGAGTGCAATGGTGTGGTAGTTTGAACATTCTTTGGCACTGCCCTTCTTTGGGATGGGAATGTAAACTGACCTTTTCCAATCCTGTGGCCACTGTTGAGTTTTCCAAATTTGCTGGCATATTGAGTGTAGCACTTTTACTGCATCGTCTTTTGGGATTTTGAATAGCTCAGCTGGAATACGGTCACCTCCACTAGCTTTGTTGTTGCTCAGACTTCCTAAGGCCCATTTGACTTCACATTCCAGGATGTCTGGCTCGAGGTCAGTGACCACCCCATCGTGGTAATCAGGGACGTTTAGCTCTTTCTTGCCTAGTTCCTCTGTGTAATCTTGCCACCTCTTCTTAATCTCTTCTACCTCTGTTAGGTCCCTGCCATTTTGGTCCTTTATCATGTCCATCTTTGCATGAAATGTTCCCTTCATATCTCCAATTTTCTTGAAGAGATCTCTGGTCCTCCCTATTCTATTGTTTTCTTCTATTTCTTTGCATTGTTCATTGAAGGAGGCATTCTTATCTCTTCTAGCTATTCTCTGGAATTCTGCATTCAGTTGGGTGTATCTTTCTCTTTCTCCCTTGCCTTTCGCTTCCCTTCTTTCCTCAGCTATTTGTAAAGCTTCCTCAGACAGCCATTCTGCTTTCTTGCATTTCTTTTTCTTTGAGATGGTTTTAGTTGCTACCTCTTGTACAATGTTGCAAACCTCCATCCATAGTTCTTCAGGCTCTCTGTCTGTCTATTTATTTATTTATTTATTTTTCGATTTATATCCTGCCTTTTTCCTACAAAGGGCTCAAGACAGCTTACATCATTCTCCTTCTTCATCTTATCATATCTAATTCCTTAAATCTATTTGTCACTTCTACTGTATATTCATCAGGGATATGATTTAGGTCATACCTGAGTGGCCTAGTGCTTTTCCCTACTTTCTTCAATTTAAGCCTAAATTTTGCAACGAGAAGCTCATGATCTGAGCCACAGTCAGCTCCTGGTCTAGTTTTTACTGACTGTATGGAGCTTCTCCATCTTTGGCTGCAGAGCACATGATCAATCTGATTTCTGTGTTGACCGTCCTTGTGTAGAGTCGTCTCTTGGGTTATTGGAAAAGAGTGTTTGCTATGACCACCATATTCGCTTGACAAAATTCTACCAGCCTATGCCCTGCTTCATTTTGTACTCCAAGGCCAAACTTGCCTGTTATTCTGGTTATCTTTTGGCTTCTTACTTTAGCAGTCCAATCCCCCATGATGATAAGGACATCATTTTTTGGAGTTAATTCCAGAAGGTGTTGTAGGCCTTCATAGAACCGGTCAACTTCAGCCTCTTCAGCACCAGTGGTTGGGGCAAAGACTTGGACTACAGTGATGTTGAATGGTTTTCCTTGGATTTGAACTTGGAGATTGTATCCCAGTACTGCTTTTCCTACTCTTTTATTGACTATTATGGCTACTCCATTTCTTCTGAGGGATTCTTGCCCGCAGTAGTATACCTGATGGTCATCTGAATTGAATTCACCCATTCCTGTCCATTGTAGTTCACTGATTCCTAAGATGTTGATGGTCTTGTCATCTCTTATTTGCCCACATCCGGCTTGCCTTGAGTCAGGGATCTTACATTCCAGGTTCCTATGGAGTATATATCTTTGCAGCATCGGACTCTCCTTTCACCACCAGATACATCCACAACTGAGTGTCCTTTCGGCTTTGACCCAGTCGCTTCGTTCTTTCTGGCGCTACTAGTACTAGCCCTCCACTCTTCCCCGGTAGCATATTGGACACCTTCCGACCTGAGGGGCTCATCTTCCGGCGTCACATCTTTTTGCCCTTTGGTACTGTCCGTCGGGTTTTCATGGCAAAGATGCTGGAGTGGGCTGCCATTTCCTTCTCCAGTGGATCACGTTTTGTCGGAGCTCTCTGCTATGGCCTGTCCGTCCTGGGTGACCCTGCATGGCAGAGCTCACAGCTTCATTGAGCTACGCAAGCCCCTTTGCCACGACGAGGCAGTGATCCATGAAGGAGTTAAATATCTATACTTGCTGGAAACTCTGGAAAGCTGGTCATATTTCTGAGGGTTTGGATATTCTTAATGAACTTTGGATGTCATTGTCTCTATACTTGACATAGATTTAGAGCCAGTGTGGGGTAGTGGTTAAGAGTGT